ATATATATATATGAATCCTTTGTTGACTGTATTGCAAATCTCTTCTGCGCTGTGGTTTGTCTTTTCATCCCAATATGGTTACATTTAGGTATTTAATTAACATGGAATTAACTTCTGTATATCGTATGAGTAGGCCCTAGTTTCATTTATAGGTATTTCATCTTTTTCCTTCCCCATTATAAAGAATTCAAACGTTTTTCACTTTTTTGTTCCCAGTATATAGTTAGGATAATTAATTTTATTATACTGATTTAGCATCCAGCAACTTTAGTAAAATCTCTTAATCAATGTCAATAACTAAAGTAGATTCTTCTGAATTATCCATGTATATATACAACTATATCATCTGGTTAATGACAGCCTTTTTTTGTTTCTTTTTCCAATCCTTTCATTTATACCATTTATGTATTTTTCTTACTCTTGAATAGAAATTCCAGTATAAAGTTGAATAGAAATGTTGATATGGAGCATCATTTTCGTTTTATTTCTCTTATGTTGCATGTTTGCTATAGGTTTTTATTTTTGGAAGAATTCTTTACTAGACTGAAGAATGTTCTTTGTGTTCTTGGTTTGTTTTATAAAAATAATGATTTTTCTCACTTTTTCAGCACATTTTGAGATCATCATGTGACTTCTCTCTCAATTTTTAAAGAGGTTGACTTGTATTATTTTCTAGTATTAAACCATGCTTCCATCTCTGGGGTGAACAACATGTAGTTATGATGGATTATCCTCTTTGTATATCACTAAACCAAACCCAACCCACTGCCATCAAGTCGATTCCAACTCACAGTGACTCCCTCTGGGTGTCTGAGGTGGTAAATCTTTACAGAAGTAGTAAAGTAGTAGAAGTCTTCCTTCCGCGGAGTGGCTGGTGGATTTGAGCTGCCAATCTAGATTCCATTTTGTCACATCTATGTACATAAATATAAGGAGCTAGGGAGCTCTGGTGGCATAGTGCCTAAGGCACTTGATTGATAACCAGAAGGCTGGTGGTTCAAATCCATCAGCTGCTCTGTGGAAGGAAGATGGAGCAATCTACTTCTGTAAAGATTTACTGTCGTGGAAATCCAATAGGAGTCTCTATGAGTTGGAATTGACTAATTGACAGTGGTTTTGGTTTGGTATTTTTATGTACATAAATAAGATCGGTCTACAATTTTCCTTTCTCATACTTGCCTAGCTAGGTTTTGGTGTCCAGGTTATGCTAATCTCATTAAATCAGTTGAGGAGCATTCGTTTTTGTTTTTTTTTTCTTTTCTCTGGATGACTCTGTGTTGTTAAGACTGAAACTATTTCCTCCTTCAATAACATCTACATCAGGCATTTTCTTATGGGAATATGTCCGATTCCTGATAAACTTCTTAAATGCTTACAATATTATAAGGTCCTCCTTTTTTTTTTTGGAGAGGGCCACTTTAGTTGCTTGCATGTTTTGAGGAAGTTGTCTACATTTTGAAATTTGTTTTCATAAATTTGTTTATATTATCTTCTTCCTATAGTATGTAACATCAGTAACAATGTTCATCTTTTACATTCCTAAAATTGTCTTATTTCTTCTTTTTTCTTGATAACCTCACTTGAGGTTTACCAATTTTATTTCTCAAAAAACCAATGTTTCCTTTCTTGAATCCTTCTACTGTATGTTCATATTCTATTTCATTACTTTCTGCTTGTATTTTATTGCAGTCTTCCTTTCTTTGATTTATTTTGCTCTTCTTTAGAAATTCTTGGGATACATACTTAGCTCATTAACTTCTGCAGCACTTTTATGTACAATTTTATAAGTGCGTTACATATATTAACTCATTTAATTCTTACAACATCCCTAAGAAACATGTTGTATTATTATTTATATTATTATTCTCATTTTACAGATGAGAATGAGAAAACTGAAGCAACCTGATTCCGAAGCTTAACCTCTATGCTATCTGCTTCCCCAAAAAAGAAGATTCTCCAGGAAGAAAAATTCACCAGCACTTAACATTAAGACATATAATCTGAGTTTGGCTATAGCAATGGGTTCATTGCTGAAACACAGAAGAGTTGATGACAAGGATGGGAAGGAAGGTTGAGATTTGACTATAGAAGGCTTTAAGTGCCTTCTAAAGTGCTTGGCTATAGTATGACAGATGAAAAAAAAAAAGTCAATGAAGGCAATTCATGATTTCATTTAAAAAAAAAATATTCTGTTTCTTGTCTTACAGTAGTTCTATATTACTTATTTATTATCATCAATATCCTCATCTGTAAAATAAGGATAAAAAGCTTTGTCCCCTAACTATATTGTATGGTTCTTGAGAATCAAAGAAGATAATGAAGATAGAAAGCAATTACTTAAATATAAATATAAAAATATATTATAAAGAATGATCAGAATAGTGATTTGGTAACTTTAATTGGTTAATAAAAATAGGAGTAATCATTTGTTACCATCATCATCACAGAAGCTAACATTTACTGAGTGTTTAATATGCCAGTCATTGTTTTAAGCTCTCTATCTCCATTTCAACGAAAGTAGTTTTCATACAGTATGGGGTAGGAAAGTTCCTGAGTTGCAGAAACGGTTTACACTCAACTACTAACATAAAGGTTGGCAGTTCAGACCAGCAGTGCTGCGGCAGGAAAGCCTGCTGATCTGATTCCATAGAGATATAGTCAAGGAAACCCTGTGGAAAAGTTCTACTCTGTAACACATGGAGTTGCCTGAATCAAAATCAACTCAACAGCAATGGATCTGGAAGTCTCTCCCCACCCCCAAGGCTTTTTTTTTAAATGGAGTAGATGCTATTATTAGCCCCATTACACAGATAATAAAACTGAGGCTGATTTAATTTGCCTAAAGTTATGGAGTTAGGAGGTGACCGAGCCAGGATTCATACCACGAACACTTGTTCCAGAGCCCATGTTCTTAAACCATTATACTGCTGGGCATCAGTGAAATGTAGCTTGATGTGAATGAAAAGGACATTAACTGTTGTTGTTGTTGTTATATGCCAACGAGTCAAACCCAACTCATAGTGACCCCTCCTTGGGTTTCCAAGGCAGTATCACTACGGAAGTAGGATTGCCCAACCTTCCTTCCGAGGAGTGGCTGGTGGGTTTGAACCGCCAGCCGTCTGGTTAGCAGGCAAGTGTCTTAGCCACTATGCTACCAGAGCTCCCGGACATTAACTAGTGAGTATTATAACCGTTAAAGATCAGCAAGCCTTTCTTCCAAGATGCCTCTGGGTGGACTCAGAACCTTTCTACTGAAAGAAGTTTGATGGTTGCCACCCCCAAGGATTCATCAGCATACTAGTAACAGTTTCACAAGTAGATTATGTCTCTGAGAAAGAGTATGAAGAAAGAACAAAGGCGATCTCACAGGTTAGCCAGAAATTGACAGAACTGCCCAAATCCAAACTTCAAATGGATTCTAGACTTTCTTCACTAAATGAGGTCATCAGAAAAACCTTATTTCAGAGTACCAAAGCTCATCACTTTCCCAAAATCCTTCACTTTACCT